AATATAAAAGTTGGCTTGTATATGCATATTTTGCCTGAAAACATTTTGAGGGTGGGTGTGGGTGTGAACAGCTACCATAATCCATAGATTTCACATCAGCAACGACGATCATCAGACGGCAATATATTCTAAATGATTAAAAATCATAAGAATGAATTATATCTGTTATATATCCAAATGAATATGAATATATAATGATAATATCAGGAGACTGTATTGTGAACAGCTACCATAATCCATAGATTTCACATCAGCAACGACGATCATCAGACGGCAATATATTCTAAATGATTAAAAAATCATAAGAATGAATTATATCTGTTATATATCCAAATGAATATGAATATATAATGATAATATCAGGAGACTGTATTGTGAACAGCTACCATAATCCAGAAGAGCGTACCACGACCGGTTTCGATCTTGCTCAAGGATCTTCTCAAGTGGCTTAAGACATTTTTGCTTAATTCTAATATTTAAGAATTAAACTAAAATTTCATCTACACTGTTGTATGAAAACGCAATTAGCAAAGTGTAGAATTAGAAGAAACTTGTGATACAATTTAGAAGAGCGTACCACGACCGGGTCTTACCTGACTGTAAGCGATTGGATTGATAATCGGGTGAGGAAATCATGATTAATTTGTAGTTGTTGATTGAGTTCGGATTGTAGTTGATTTGGTTTGGTTGTGGCGTTATGTTGATTGTTGACTTTTGATTCTTACATCTGAAATACAGAGAAGAAAATAATAGGGCTGAAATAAACCGAAAGAAGGGAGAATATGAAGTTAATTATGGTTGAATATGGTGATAATTGTTTCTTTTTTTTTAAGTTTGCAGGTAGAAGAAAGTAATTGTACATATATATGTAAAATGAAGGAGAGTACTGCTAAGATGGATATTGTAGTAGATGTTGAAATTTGTCAGGTTGTTGTGGGTTTGGGTGGACGTTTGCGTTCTATTTAACAGAATAATTGTTTTTTGAATCTAATTGGATGAGTGTATGTGTTACTAAAGTGTTACTTACTTGGTATGAAATCATGTCGACGAAGGGATTCATGTGGACGTTTTTTTCTTATGAATTCAGTTTTTCCTTTTGGATTATTCTTATTTCCAACAATCAGTTTAATGCTTTTGAGAGTTGAATCATTAAAAGTATTTTTGTAGGTTTCATGTATGTCGTGTTTGAGAGATCGTAATCTTTTCTCGTATGTGGTATGTAGAAATAGTACTCGTTTGAGCTTTTTCTTTCTGTCGTTCTTCTTGGCCGTTGGATTTGTAGCTTGAATTTGCATAATCTTTTCGTACTCATTGTCATTAACTTGAGACAATGCTATATCGGAAGCTATTTGTGATTGTCTATGGGTAGATGTTGGTGCAATATGATTATGGATGGCGTTAAATTGATTTTCGTCTTTGATCATCGATAGAATGGAAGAATATGAATCGTATTGATGGAATTGATTAAAGAATGCATGAAATTCTTTATTTATATATGTTGATGGATAACTAGACATTTATTAAACGAATTAAAATTCTCAATTTATACATTGTTTATTCTAGATTTATTAGCTTACCCATTATATAATAACATTAATCGTATATTGCGTCGTTCAACATTGAATGCTTCGAATGTAGAAGAGTATCTTATAGCACGTAAAAGTGCAGTTCGAATAATATTTCGAAATATATGGTGAGGATGATCAGAAGTAAATGGTACCACATAAGGTTCAGAAGCTGGTTTACGATAGACAGATGTCGAAAGAGCACCATTATTATTCGTAAGTAGAACATCAAGAAATGGAAGACTTTGACCTATTTTATATTCTAATTTAATATTAGGATGATGATTATTGAGTTTTTTCAGTAGTTGTTCGAGATTTTCTTGAGTATCATTCCATGTAAAAAAAATATCATCAATATACCTAGAATTATTAGAAGAAATCAATTTTGAGCAAAATTTTAAAGATATCATACCGGCCATAAATTTCGGGGGAAGGTAATTCTTTGCAAATTGATTCTTTTTCCCATTTCCACATGAATATATTTGCTAAAGTTAATGTAAATGGTGATCCCATTGCTCCACCAATAATCTGTTGATAGTATTTGTTATGATAGACAAAAACATTTTCTTCTATAACAACACGAGCTAATTCACGAATAGTTGCAATATCGATTCCTCTGACGTGTGATTTTTCATAAGTTTGAAGAAATTCTTGAAGAATATCAAGTGATTGTTGTTGTGGTAGCATTGTATATAAATTATTAATATCAAAAGTACAAAATAAAGTAGTTGGTTTTAAATGTCCAGCATTAGCATATTCTTGAAGTCGTTTAATGAGGTGAGCACCATCAATAATAGTAGTTAGTTTAGCGTTGTTGTTAAATATTGGTCGAATGAATCGATCTAAAAGTCGTGAGATATTCGTTGTTGGTGAATCAATAGTATGCATAATGGGTCGTAGTGGTGTACCATCCTATTTATTTTGATAGAAATATATTGTTCTCGATTATAATTAAAAGAAAACTAGCCTTTTTTTTTGTTTTGTTACCTTATGTGTTTTAGGATTGAAATACATGTAAGCTAGTTTACATGTCTTACGATTGGGCACCATTTCACATTGTTGCCAAGCTCTAATTTTGTCCGGTTTCGCACGAAGATCATTAAGTAATCGAATAACCTTGTTTAACGTTGCTTCAAATGGATTGGAAGTTAATTCTTTGTAAGCTTTTGTTTTGTCTCGATATTCTTTTACTTTTTGTTCATGATCAATAGCTCGAAGAATACAAAATACACCACTTTTGTCGGTTTCACGAAGAATAAGTTTGTACTTTTTTAATTTGAACCGAATCGATTTGACAACTTTGTACTCACGTTGTACACGAATTCGATCAGATATTGATAACGAAGTCATATAACGGAGATTCAGACAGTTTTGAAGACATTTTGAATATATATCATAAATCGGCTTTTCTCGATTTATATGATGGTATGTATAAAGGTAATCTTTCACTTTTTTAATAATATTCTTGTATTCTTTTTTAATAAGATGGTCTCGTTTCTTATCGGACGGAACAGCACTTTGATTCATTCTTATATAGTTTGGGCCTAAAAACAAAAACAGAGAAGAAATCATCATATTACAAAGAAAACTAACTATTGAGATGAGCTACACATGATCTATATTTACCTTTAGAAAGATAATCACGTTCCTGATCATTGAAAGGATTAAATAATAGATAGAAAATTGGTTTTGGAGATACATCTATAGTTTTCTTTGCTTTTGATGAACGTTTACGATAATTTAGTAATTTTTTTCGATAATCTGACATATCGATATAGATCTGTTGAATCGTTCGTTGTTTTCGATTATGTAGATAAGTTTTGATTGAATTGAGATGAAATATTCGATTGACATTATTTTTACATTCAAATCGTAGTTGAAGATTATGTAACTTTTCAATGTATTGTTCTTCATATTCTTGAATCTTCTTTTCATAAGCATTAAAGTAAATATTTAACCATGTACGTTTTATTTGTTGTATAATCTTGTAATGTTGAATTTTGAACTCAATCGATGTCACATCCTGAAGTAAAGGTGTATAAAGAGGAGGTTTAATTAAATTGTCTATAGAATCGAAGTTTTGAGGTAATAATTTACAAATAATTCGTTGTTCTAACATAGCAAATTCTTCCATAAGTTGCATCTGTAGCTGTTGCAAGTTAATTAATTCATCCACAAGTATCTTATTCAGATAGATAAAAAAAAGTTGATCAAAATGAAAGAAAATTAACAGATTTATATACATACTCGATCGTTTGGTGTTAGATAGAGTGATATTTGTTGAAATGATTTTTTTTCTTCTAGAACATCTTTATATTGTTTTAATTGCTTATTTATTCTTGTTGATGAATGTTTTTTTTGTTGGCGAACAAATTTCTTAAGATTATCATCGAGTATGTCCAGCGAAGGAAGTGTTGATATCCATGACTGAGCTTGCGTATTTAATTTAGCATAGCATAGATCAAGGTAAGTTTTTGATTGATTTAAAGAATCTACGATATATTGTTGACATAAATTAGATTCATTGGTTTTGGCTGCTCTATAAACTTCATTCTAAAGATTAAAATCAAAGAAGTGTATATATATATATATTGGATGAATTCATTTTATTCACTTACTGGCCAGATTTGTGGCTGTTGTTGTTGTGATCCAATTTCCAAATATGATTGCCATAAATATCGATTAAGATCTAAAGCAAATTCTTCATCGAACAGATGTAATCGCGAATAGACGAATTTTTGTTCGTTTCTTTTTTTAAGAGGATGATTTAGATGTTTTCTTAAAGTGTTCATTAACGCTTGAGAGGATGCCCTTAAATAACCTGATGGTCTATATAAAAGAAAGAAAAAATAAAGAGATAGGCATGACATAATTTTAGAAAAAAAAAGATGAGCAAATATACTGATAATTCTTATTTTTAATAATTTTCTTCATTTTTCTTGTTCTTTGTTGTCGTCGTCGTCGTCGTCTTTTCTTGTTTTTCTTTTTCATCTTCTTTGTTGACGGTTGAAGAACTGATAATGTACTCGTTGATTTAGGAACATTATATGTTTTTTCTTTTGATATAGCATCTTTTTTACGTTTATTGGATTTTATATTTATAGTCGTTGTTGTTCTATTTTCATTTAATGGTAATTCATGCTATTAACGAGAAGAAGGAAAAACAATAAAAAATGAATCTATCGTAAACAGATTTACTTACTCCGATAGATATATTTGACACTGTTGTATTCATCTGTTGTCTATTAGCAACAGCTTGATATGGTGGATTTGTTTTACGAGCATTTATTCGTTGGTTAACAAATTGTTCTATCTGTTCTTCGCTCATTTTTTGATTACGACAACGCTTTCGAAAACGTTGATCGCTCCGATTACCATAGCATTTTTTCTTCCGTCTATGTTGTTGTCCTTGTACAAGTTGTATATTAGTTGTTGTATTTGTCGTATTGTCAATATTCATTTTATTTCTGAAACAAAAAGAAATTTATTTAATATACAATTAGATTACCAGTAAGTTATTGTTTTTTATTTCAAGTGTATAAGAAAAGCTGAATAACTATTAATGATTAGAGTTCGAATGAAGACAATGAATTTTAAATTGATTCACATATTTAATACGTTCTTTTCTATTATCAGCACGTTCTTCAAGTAGATTAACCATAATAGTAGTTAATTGTTGATCAACAGGTAACGATTTTCTTCCAACGAATATTTTGTCTAATTCTTTGTCATAGTATTGCTTCCCATAATGTTCCATTTGAGTTTCGGCTGTTTTAACATAAAGATTTAATATGTCGTTTTTGGCTTGTTCAACTGCATTTGTTAATTGATTATTTAATTGTTGTTGAAAATCTTGATTACTAATTGTAGTAATAAATCTTGGATGTGAAATTTGTAGTTTTGATCTCGGAGAATTATTATAATGATAGATACGTTGTTTAACTAATTGTACTTCTTCTCTTGTAACATCTTGTTTATATCTGACATCATAAAGATGTTTATATAATTTGATCTAATTTAGAAGTGAACAAAGATTAAAAGATTTAATTTTCTTCTACTTACACAATGATCACTTGGATTTTGTTGGAAAAATTCAAGTTCCAATGCTCGATCTTTATAATCATATTGAACCAATGTGATTTTATGTTCAATTTTTTGACGTAAATTTTCTAGTTTTTGTACGATTAATGTTTCAATTGTTTGATAAACTGTTTCTCGATGATCATTTGGCAAACGACTTTTAAGAAGACCCAATTCTGTTTGATGATTTTGTATTTTGTGATTAAATTGGCGTAGACGATCATGAACTAATGACATACATGCGTCATTTTCACTTGCACCTGCATTAATTGCTTGTTTGGCCATTGTTTTAACTATCACTGGCCAAATTGTTGGACCTATTTGATTTTCTATCAATTGACCCATACCTGATTTCCAATAGGTTATCCATAATGATTGAAAAATTTGCTCGGATCTAATTTTATGTGTTAGACTGGTTATTTGCCGTAAATCTTCTTCGTTGTGTACTGGTATCGAAGATGCTGTTGTTGTCGTCATCACCGTTGATAATACTTCGTTAATTAACTTCTTTAAACGTTCATTCTTATTAGATAAATAACGCGAAGTTTTATCCAATCGTTGTCCATTCTTTTGTTGACGTTGATTTGAAGTCGATAATTGACTTAATTTTTGTGATAAACAGTTGGAGTCGAAACCAACAATTTTATCTTCTTCTTCTAATGCATCGATGATATCATTATCAAGTTCAATTTCATTGTACATCTCTTCTGATATATCGAAATCATCATACTATAATATATTCAAACTAGACATAGTTTCATTTAAATATTTCTTACTTGTTCTTTGTCAACAATATCATTATTTCTAGCCATTGTTAATAAAGCAAAAGAATTTTATCTAGAATTTGATATAGATAATAGGTAAGTGAAAAGTAAAAGGTCAGACAAAATCGTTAATATATAACAAAAAATAATACATTGACAAAACGAAAGCTTGAATATATAGATTGAATAAAAAAGAAAGATTTACGAATATTTTTAAGGTGTATGAAATGATTCATCATCTTCTAAAATTGAAGAACAAAAATCAAATAAAATTGATTTATTTATTCCTTCATAAATCATATTGAAATGTGAAACTTACTCATACGATAAATACAAGAATGTTGATTCCAGAAGTTATTATCATTGTTATGATCGATGGGATCGGCATTGCTTGATATATCTTCTAATGAACCTTGATTTTCATAATTAAGAAGTACAATAGCAGGTTGATAAATTTCAACAATAGTTGGTTTGCCACGATTGTTAATTGTCTATACACCCTCAAGATAAAAAAAGCAATGATAAAACTGAAATTGTCATTCATATATACATACATGGATTCGACCACCTTGAAAAAATAGATGTTTCTTGTCTGGATAACCGATATTTTCAAATTCATCCCATGGTAAATTATCATATATAGTATAGTGTGCATATGGATTGAAAGCATCAGGATTCCATGCATCATCATAATAATTATAAAAACCTGGTAACGCTCGAGCAAACGTTGTCTTTCCTTGTTTAATTAAATGCATACAAAACAAGTCGAATTTTCTAAGAAGATAATAAATTTACCTGTATTAGCTGGTCCAATCAAAATAAGACATTTGGTTGCTATTTTATTGGAAAATTCTTTTTCAATCCATTGATTGACAAATTGTCCTAGAATAATATCTTGTGAATTGTATTGATAATTGTGTTATACATACGTAGATTAGATGTACAAGTAGGAAATGATACTGGCCATGTATATCTAGGATGTATATGACCAGCTTGATAGGCATCTCGTTCAGCTCGATGATTAATATCATTGAATGTAGCAAAAAATCTTTAAAACAAAATCAATCAGTCATATTATCAATGAAAAATACATACTCTTCTTGACGAACACGAAATAGATCGGGTAAATAGAGAAACATTTGACTTATAGCGCCATCGACTGTTGTTCTGGCTAATTCACAAAGCCTTTCGATAATTCTTGTATTTTCATCATTGAATTCTTTATTGGCAAGTCGTTGGAAAAGGGTCATCTTTTTGATGATGTATGGAATGTTAAGCCAGTCGAAGAAATTGAACTTGATATGTATATATCTACAATGAAGAAAGAAACAATGAAGACTAAATAAACAAGAGAATGAGAGAGAAAAGAATAAAAAAATGGGTAGAAGAAAGAGTTATATTGTCTATTATTTAAGACGTTAGTGTCGTGAACGTTATTGGTTAATATTATCAGCTTGATAATAATCTGGCTTATGGAAATATTCATCAGGTCCTATATTTTAAAAAATAGAAAAATGAAATCAGTATAGTTTTTTTTCAATGTTTCCTCATTGTTAGTTACCCATATGATAGATGATCGCTCGATGTTGCCAATAATTAAAAGTTTGCTGTTGTTCAACTGTGAGAGGAGGTTGAGCAATTAATGAGCCAGCATCTTCATCATTTAAAAGAACGATAGCTGGTTGTCGAATATTAATTTTTGTACTTGGTCTGTATTTATCTGTAGCCTATTGTACGTATAAGAAATATAAAGGGAAAGAAAGACAATTGAAAGAAAATATACCATTGTCAGACCATTTTGTGTTAATAAACCTTTTTTAGATGGAAACCCTAATTGTTCAAATTGATCCCAAGGAATATCATCAAAAATTAAATAATGAGCAGAATTCTTCCAACTATCTAATCGCCATCGTCCTTGAAAATAATTATATTGGCCAGGTAATGATTTAGCAAATGATGTTTTT